AATGAAGAAGCAAATCCCTTGTATCTAGAATACTCCAAAAGTGACCTCTTAGGTAATAGCACACAAGATGAACAGGAGTCAGGTACATACTCTATAAGTTGAGCTGTCTTCTTGTTCTTGTCATTTGCATCTCATGCAAGAAACCTGCAGGTTCATGAAGCCTACCACGAACCTAGATAAATTTGGAAAAGAAGGACCTTCCTTAGTTTTACTGAGTCAATATTTCTTCACCTGTAAAAATGAGGCCACAAATACTAATACTGTAGGGTTGCAAGGATTAGCATATGAAGTGCCTAGTTTATAATGTTACTCAATAAATGATATATATTAATGTTACCATATAACATATGTGTGTATTAGTATTAATATCTAACTGCCATCAGCAGACATTAGCTCCTAAAATGATATAAAACAGCCCCTCTGAATGTAAGGAAGCCACTATTCTATAAGATTTACCTATATACCAGGCCAATTTTTAAAACTGGACTGGACTATCTTTCCAATAATGCTATCACCACTCACCAACACCACTCAATTTATCGCCTTTTCTTCCCTCAGGAGACACATATTATTGACAATAAAAACATTCTCTACAGTGCCTCTCTAGGGAAAATAGACATCATTGTTTGCCCTGGCTGCTTTTCTTTCACTCCCAATAAATTTCTCTATCCTGGCCATAGGCCCTGCAGATATGCAGACATCTACTTCCTTTCCCTGGTGTGCTGGAGCCGGCTTGCTTGATGGCACATCTCTTCCCAACACTGGTTTCAGTGATATCATGTAGGTAGCTTGAAACTGGCTATAGTGAGAGCATTTACAGCAAGGAACACCACCATCAGAGCTGTTGCTTGTTCTTCTTCTTCTCCTTTTTTTCTGGAGATCCTGCTGCGAAGCATTTAGCAGCACACCACTGCCTCTAGCATTGACCTGCTGTGAGCACCTTGAACACAGGAATTGTGTCCCATTTCTGTTCCATCCCCAGAGTCTAGCACAGAGTATGTAGGTTCTCCTCATCCTTGATGGATACATGTGCACTTTTGTCTTCTGTCTCTTAACGTCTCTCATATAAATTGTGCTCCATGTTCCCTATTCTTGTTACCAATTGTTCAGTTGTAGATTTCCCTTAGCTGTGATCAGAGGACCACTCTTTTCAGACTTGGGTTAACCTTTCATATCTCTCCCTAACCTGGACACTCAGTCCACTTTATACCATCAATATATTTATCCTGGGAAGTTATGGGGATTCATCTGAAAGAAACAAAACCTTATCAGGTCCTTTAAGGAACACCTTGGTTTCCATTTTGGGATTTCTCCACCTGTTCTTTCTTAACAAATAGTTATATTAGACATCTGATAAGGGTAAGACATGCCAGAAACTATGGAGAATACGAAGCGGTATAATTGACATATGAGCTCTACCCTCTGAGAGCTTACAGTCTCCTGGGAACAGGCAAATATGCATAAGACATGTCACAATATGCAGTCCCAATGGGACAAAAACAAAGCAATGAAAATTCAGAGAAGGAGCAGGAAGGGTAAGATTTAATAGGCATAAAAGTTGATGAGCAATTTAGGCAGTGAATACAGCAGAAACAAAAGCAAGTAGGCTCAACTCTGTGGCCTATAAGCAGATCAGTGTCAGCTACCATGTCTAGCCTTTGCTAGAACCCAGCTAACACTCTTCCTCAGCTACTTTCCTCTTTCAAAACCAAATGGAGCCTTGGTCCAGTGTACCCAGGCTTCCCAGAATCTAACTTACATTCCCAGTCTGGCTGACCAATGCACAGAGAGAACATCCTCCCCACCCACCAAAACAGAAATGTCCCCAATGTAAATGAGCACTACCAGCCCATCCTTACCAGGATCCTACAGGACCCTGGGGCTATACAGAGTGGTATACTGGTGCTTTCCCTTCACCTAATGGCTATCAGCATCCTGATCCCTCAAAAAAGGTGGGAGCAGTGATCTGGGCCGGGTCTTTATGTCAACCACCTCTGCCCTTGAGGCTCTGACATGGAGGCCAAGCATCAAGGGAAGCCACTCTATCCTTCTGCCCATCCCCTCTCAGCCCATCAGAACCCCTATTCAAGTGTGTCCAGATGTCATCCACCTCTTCCTCAGTCTTTTCCCTCCTCCCCACTGTAATGGAAACATTATTTTCCCTAGAGCTTGCCTAGCACTTTCTAATGTCCCTCTTCAAAAGATGCCCCACCCCCATTTCTCACTCACTTGGGAAAGGACTCCAGTATCATCCCCAGACCCCTGTCCTGCCACTATGTTCAGCATCTTCTCCTCCACTCCATCTACTTCCCATCCTAGGCATTCCCAACTTCCTCCTCCCTATAGGCATTCATCCAACACGTATTCATTGAGTATCTTCTCTGCCTCAAACATCCATGAAAAACCTTTTCCTCAATCATATTACCCTTTAGATCAAATCTTCCCTCTCTCTAGCCCCATTTGTCACCCAACCACATGGCGATTTTGACTCTGTTCTCTCACTACCACTCCTACTCACCTGGAGTCCCTAGTTAAACCCTAGCTCTTTGAAGAGATAGCTGTATAATCTGGAAAGGTCAGTTACCAACTCTAGGTCTCATTGTTCTCATTTTGGTAATTAGAGATTACCGAATCTAATGTTCCATCTGGCTTTCTGTGCTTTGGCCCTCATCCAGCTGCCAAGAAATTACTTGTTACATAATCACTCAGGACTTCTTGGTTGCCAATCCAAATGAACAAAGGTCTAATTCTAGATATGCTGACTCTAATTACCTGTGTGGCTGGGGCCATTTCTTTCATCTCTTTAACTTCCATTTTTTCTCAGCTACAAAATGAGGTAACTGCACTGAATGACCTTTCAAGATTCTTCAGGTCTTTGATTCCATGAGAACATATACACAGAGATGAGAGAAGGAGAGAGATCCTTTTTGGAGAGTGGACAGGGAAGAATTCATGGAGATGACATTTGTAGAGATTTGGAAGAAAGGCAGAGAAAGGGTGCCAGGGTGTCCTCAAGGGAACTGTGGTAATGGATCTAGACAGGGATCATCCTCCACTGATTACGATCTCTATAATGGAAGATTCAGGATAACAACACCTAAATCCACTAACCAATCTGAACGTCACCAAAAAATGAGACAAGCAAACTGTGTGACTCCCAACGAGATGCAATAGGAAATATACAACCCACTGATAAAGCATTCTTGCCAAAAGGATTCAAACCCTGAATCTGATCAGGCCTCTGGATCTAAAAGTATCAATTTAGTGAAAATAGAGGAGACAGGCTGAGAATATGTTTAAAAGACACTTCAGAGATGCAATCAGAAAAATCCAGAATATGGGGAACGCGACAGCCTACTTCTCAAAGTGTGGTCCATCCCGCACACAGCATCAGTATTACCAAGGAGTATGTAGAGATGCAGAGTCTCAAGCCCCATCTCAGACCGCCTGCATCAGAATCTGCACTGTAATAGTCCTGCAGTGATTTGTACCCACATGAAAATCTTGGAAGCAGAGCTGTGTAGGACAAATGACCCATTTTCTTCAATAGATATTAAAGACAAGGAGGATGAAACATGGGGAACTTATAGATCAAAAGAAAAAAACTAAAAGACATATCAACCAAATTTAATTTGTAGACCTTTCAGACCAACCAATTATTTTTTAAAATGAGACTATGGAAGAAATTCAAACAATTACTGGATAGTTATTGATATTAGGAAATTATTGTAACTTTCTAATAGTGATAATAGTATCGGGGCAATTCTTTTTTTTTTTTTTGTAAGAGTATTATTTAAAGATACATACAGTAGTATTTATAGATTAAATGCTATAGTTTCAGGGCTTTGCTATAAAATAGTTTGGTATAGAGGTGGGGAAATGAACTGGGGTAGGGTTAAAACAAGATTTAAAAAGAAAGATGGGAGAGACAAATTACGATAACGCAGGAAACCTAAGAAAGAAAATTTCAAGCTGAAAGGGGCAAGTACTCCCAGAGCCATTGTGGACTGGGTTACACCTTAGTCTGGGCTGGGAGAGGTCATTCCAGACAGCAGACCTAACCCAATGGCAGGAATATGAAATAAATAAATCTGCACTCTAAACCAGAGAAAATCCCTATGATGGTGACACCGTGAATCGAGGTTAGAAGAAGGGAGAATTTCCTAGTTGCTAAAAACAGAAACAGGTCATCAAATAAATTATGGGATCTCCTTCTCTGCGGACATTCAGAAATAGGATCCACAGAGCTGAAATGGAGGCGGCCTTGCTCAGGGGAGAGAAAGTTTAGATCCGCAGCCTTTTCAGGTCACCGAGAAAGGAAGGGGGGGGGGGGGAGCTCAGAGAGAAGGGAGTGGGGTGGAAGCCTGACAGGGAAGCATCAATGCCCTCCCTCTCTCACGCCCTCTGCTTTCTGTCCCTTTCAGACAGCACAGATAGCTTGGCGGATCCTAGTTCTGCCCAGAATTATTGGGATTTTAGGGATTCGAAATGGGGCGGGGGGGGGGGGGGGGGCGGCGGGCAGTGGATTGGGAGGGAGAGGATACATACGAATTCCTAGCGCGTTTAGTGTACACATAACTGCGCCCTGGCTTCGTAACCAAGTTTCCGGTTACCTATGCACCAGCCCTCCACCAAACAAACAAACCATCCTTGGCTCAGAAAGAAACCAGAAGTGTGGGTATCGTCTGCGCAAAGGGAACCAACGTAGAACGTGGCCGACAGCTGCGGGCGGCGCAGCCAGGCCTTGAGGAGGCGGGCGCCGGCCGCTCCGGGCCTGGGTTTGGGCAGATTCCTGAACCGCTTCCAAGGGGGCTGGAGCGGGGCTGGCCTCGATGCACCCCACCCCACCCCGGCCGGGCCTGCAGCGCCGCCGTGGACCGGCGCAGCGGCCCTGCACCTTGCCTCCCAGGCACTGGGAGCACGGTTGCTTGCTGGCGTGTGCGCGCTTGCTGTCCTGGACAAGAGCTTTCTGTTTCAGCCCCAAACTGATCTATAAATACCTGAGTTCACTGCCTCGCAGCCTGGCCTTCGAGGGGAATCGGCTGGCACAATCCCAAGTTAAGGACTTGCTAAGGGTGCTCGCTGGGACCGCCGCCCTCCTTGCGCTTCCCAACCCCCTGCCCGGGAGCCCCCTGAGTCGGAGCAGAGGGAGGGGGACGGATGACGTCATGGAACTGTTGTAGGATTTAGCTCAGAAACCCGCCCGGGAGGCCGAGGGCCTGTGTTCCATTTAAGCCGACAGTGAACCACTGTTGGCTCCACTTCCCTAAATGCTTTCCACCCTTCCAGAGACCTAAGCGGGCCTGGGGTTCTGAAGGAAATCAGTGTGTGAGGTCTAGTTCAAGAACGCCGAGGACTGGGCATGCAGATATATATGGGTGTCAAGACTTTGACTAGCATGGGTCCGGCCACAGAGTCATTACAATGCTACCAGCAGGGTTTCAGGTAGTGGGAGAATGATTGCAGGCCGAAATATGCCTCATGGCACAGGCAGTACTACTAACTGTAATAATAATGGAAAGGATTAGAGGGAATGTTACTGCCTTCCAGAGACTAATCAACCCCTAAAGTAGATGTTTATTCCCCCATCCCACCCCCATTTTACAAATGACAAATTAAAACCCAAAGAGGGTAAGGAACCAATGCAGGACCATGCAGCTGGCCAGTGAAGGAACTAAGATTTAAACCCATATCTCTCAATCTCCAAACCCAGGCAACCTCTTTCCAACATTGCATTGCCTCTTGGCTTTCAGATAGGTACATTCCAAGGGTGGGGGCATCTACTATCCAATAGTCCCCAGGCTCCTCCCACCTCCTCTATTTTCAAGGAGATAATGGGGGAAGGGGACAATTTTTCAAAAAGCAGAGGACTGTTTGCTCTTCCAGAGAGAGGTTAACTTAACCAAATTAAAGCTAACACTCCTAGCTCGTTATGACTGGAGATGGAAGGGACAGGGTACACTTAAAACTGCAACAGGGAAGAAAGGTGACTTTGTGGAATCTATTTCCCAAGAACTGTGCTGTGCTAATGGTAAATATTTTTTTTACAAAGCTGGCACAGAGGCAAGATATAATAATACTTATCTTCAACAATGATGTGCCATGACTGCTCTAAGTACTCTACAAGATAGAGTAGTGGTGGGAAATGTCAGTTTTTTAACAACAGCTGGAAGTTTAATTTTGCTGTAAGTCTAGCATCAGCAAAAGTCTCAATTTGCCTCACTGACTTTCATCTCCAAAGTAGGATCTGGCATCTGACTGCTGGGGTCTGCATTTTAGCTCTGGCAGCTTGTAGAGTGGAAGTTGAGTAGTCATGAGTAAGCCCTTTACCCCTGTGAGACCTTGTCAGTTGTGGGTAGTAAATATGCGTCCTTTGTTGCACTCATGTGAGAATCCCAGGAGAGAATGTAGGTGAAGGACCAGCACAGTGTCCAAGCTTGAGCTGCAAATATTATTACTATTTCCTCTCAGAAGGGAGGGGGCATTTTGGCCAATAATGAATAAATTGAGGTGAAGTGGAAGTAACAACAACCAACAGGGAAAGTGATGGTGTTGGGTAGGATACAAGAAGACAATGCTGGGCAAAGACCTGAGCAAAGCTCATTTCAGAGAGTTTGGAGAAAAGTAAAGTCTGGCTCAGTGAGATTCTAGCCTAAATCCCTAAATAAGAATATGTGTATAAAGGATGAAATGATGGAAGATATTTCAAAATAAACTACTAACAATTCATTAATTCTATTGAGAAGAAAAAGGAAAAGAGTGTAAAAAAGAATTACCCGACAGAAACATGGAGGTCTAGATTGAGCCTGTGCTTTCAGGGGACAGTACACATACACACAAAGGCAAGGGATGGGCATGTACCCAGGTCTGAATGCACAAAAGCCAGCTGAAGGTCAAGCACAGTGTTAGACAATGTTTGAAGCAAAAAAGTTCATGGAAAGTATATGAGTTCTCTTATTCCTTTTCTGATAGGGGTTGTAGAGTCGTCGGTTAGGGAATACTACTTGATCTTAGCACAACATCTTATGTTTTAGTGGAAAGAACACAGAATTGAGGTCTGGAGACCAGGATACTAGTCTAGCTCCACCAATAGTAATTTGGGTGACCACGGGCCAAGTCCCTTAACTGTGCTGGGCCTTATTTATGAAAGATGGAGTATGTTCTCTTGGGTCCCTCTCATCTCAAAGTTCCATGATTCCACATTGAAATTAAAAGTGGACTGTTGACAGTTCAATCCAGAGGATGCAGCTCCAATAGGACAGCCACAACCCTAGGGCTACTTAGTGCGCAATGTATGGTGTGTTAAACTGACCAAAGAGAGAATGTAGTCCCTGATTGTTTTTTGCCCTGTATACATGTATTAATGACTTAATCCCCAAATGATAGGAAAGCTTTTGCAAAAGGTCATAGAATGAAGATTTAAAATAAATTAGATGGACTAGACTAGGCCTGGGCTGAAAGCCAGATGAAATTAATTGACATAAATGTAAAGCCCTATGTCTAAGTTTGTGGGGTTTTTTTCAATATCTTTATAAGTTCAGGATAGGGAAGAGCTGGCTGAGAAGTAGGTGATGGGATCAGGGTTTGGGTGACCCATTCAAGCTAAACTGATGCAGCCTTCATCTAGCTGCTAACAAAAGAGCTAGTGCAAATTTGACCATATGTACAAATAGGGATAATGATAATGGCAGACATGTGTTGAGCCCTTACATAGGCTTCCCACATTATCTCATTCCTGGGGTATCATAGTGTCATAGGATCCCAGCCCAAATAGTGCCATTGCCACTTGTGCCATTAGATCCTGTCATTGGTGTTGCTTTTATTGCTGGGGGCCTTACAGAGTAGGAGACTAACAAACTGTAGTGTTTGCAGATCAGGGCAACAAGGATGGGGGATGTCTGAAAACCAAGTCCTACAGGAGGGGACTGAGAGAGTTGACAGTGCTCACCCCAGAAAAGGCACAACCAAATGGTGGCGCAAGAGGGAGAAGAAGTACAGGAGTGGTTAAGACGTGGGCCCCTACTATCTGCCATCAAATTTGTGTACTTCCATTTGTAAGTTCTATTACTTTAAGCAAGTTACTTAATTGCTGCCTCAGTTTCCCCAAATGTAAAAAGGGAGTAGTCATAGTAACTAACATATAAGATTATTATAAAGGTAATAAATGAGATGTATATAAAAGCTCACCTGGCAGGTGGCAATGCTTAATACATATGCACAATGATGATGATGATTTCATCATGCATCTGGTGAACTGTCCCCATGGAGGAGCAACAAGGGTCATTTTATCTAGCTTCAGAAGCGGGGAATAGGACTAATGGGCAGAAGCCAAGAAGAAAGAGCATCTGGTTCAACATAAAGAGACCTTTCAAATAATCAGAATTTCACAATGAAGCAAGAGCTCATACTTACCAGAGGAGCTCACTCTATTCCATTTTATAATTGGTAGAACAATTCATGGGGATAAGGAACCATAAATTAAGAGCATCAAAGAAATCAGAAGGTAAACCAAGGTGAATGGCAACAAGCCATACCTTTCTACTCCTCCTCTGTTGAGAAATCTCTAGAAGTGTGGATTTGTAGATAACCTTGAAGACCATGGATTTTAGTTGCATGCTTTTGATTTTCCCTGACTCACAATAGGCAAGATGAAAAGCTTGGGCTTTGTAGTGAAATTCCCAAACTTAGAACCCCTGCTCTGTTATTTATCGGCTGTGCAACCTTAGCTCACTTCTCTGGGTCGAGTTTTTTCTTCTGTAAATGAAGTAAACTACCCACAATCCTCATGAACAAAAATCAGAGCTAATATATTTCTTGCTGCACTGGTAAACATTATGGCAAAGTGGTCTGACTTTATCTGTATATGAGACAGGCAAATTCAAGCCTTCTGGCCTTTTGTACCTGGAGGGTAATGCAGGTGGTGGAGATTGGATTAAAAAAAAAAAAAAAAAAAAAAAAAAAAAACTGTGCTACATCAGCAAGCACATATGCCAAAATTGCACTTAGGATACAGATGCAGAGACAGGCAAATTCTGAAAGCCTTCCAAGTCTTAAAGTCTACTTTCACAGGAGGGATAAAATAAGAGGTGGTAAATGAAACTTTTCTGTCATTATTGAGAATCTGTGTGTTAGGTTCTGGACTCAGCATACTAACAAATCTTCTCAATGGTTAGGGAAGGTCAGAATTGGTGATAATTAGGCTGGGCTGGAGAACAGATTTGCAATTAATTGTCTTGTGAACCATCCCTAAAGCCTATAGAACATCACTGGAGCCATGTGCTGTCTTCCCCAGAGCTGACCAAGGCTAGATCTCCCCCATCTCACTACAGTGGCCAAAAGCATTAGGGCCTGAACAACTTTGCCCAAGATTCAGCTTCTTACAGAAGCAGGCTGGTGGCTGCGGGCCAGTCACATCCTTCATAAGAGACCCCACCATACACACACACACACACACACACACACACACACACACAGCCTTATATTGGAGTGCACTGAGTATACTAACAGATGACTTTCTCTCTGCCCCTCCCCTCAGTGTGACGGGGTTGGGGTGGACCTGAGCAACATCTTCCTTGAAGGCATTGCCATTCTCAACATTCCAAGCATGTATGGTGGCACCAATCTCTGGGGAGAAACCAAGAAGAATCGGGCAGTGATCCAGGAAAGCAGAAAGGTTGTCACTGACCCCAAGGAACTGAAATTCTGCATCCAAGGTAAGTCAGGCATAAGGAAATCTGTTGTAGGTCAGTGTCCCGATGAGAGGGTATTCTGGTGGGTGGTATTCATGCTCTGGGGATACACTGACTCATCCTCCCTGATGTTGCAAAGTTTATAACCTAACTGGGAAGAGAAAATTAACAATAAGGAGCCCTTAATGACAGTCAGTAGTCAAGCTGTGGGACTCCATGAGATCAGGAGTCAAATGCTGCTCCTGTCAAGGTTACAAGTGTCCTCCAATATTTATATCCAATAGTCATTCTCAACCTTGATCTCACTTCACCTGCCAGTGGCATTTGACCCAACCGATCACTCCCTCTTCCTGAAAATATGTGGCTTCTATGACTCCACATATGGTTTTCCTCCTAACTCACTGGTTACTCTTTCTCACTCTCTTTTGTTA